ACGTAATACATGTAGATCAATTTGTAGATCAATCTTGTAAATCATTCTGTTGATCAATTCTGCAAATCCCTTTTGTAAATCGATTTTGCAGATCACTTTGTAGATCCGTTTACACTATTAAACTTGTAAAATAACTCTGCAATTTCAGTTTTACTAAGAAAAAACCGCTATTGTAGTTTTGGTTTACTAAGAAAACTTAGTAATAACTGCTATTGCAGCTTCAGTTTATTAAGAAAAGTTAGTAATAACCGCCATCACAACTTCAGGTTTACTAAGAAAACTTAGTAATACCTGCTATTGCGGCTTCAGTTTTATTAAGACAATTTAGTAATAACCATCATCTTAGCTTCATAACAATTTTATTAGTAAAAAAACATTTCCGAAGCTGCAGATGCTTTTTTACTAGGTTTCTTAGTAAAATAATGTCTCTGAAGCTGCGAAGGCGTTTTTTACTATAGTTTTCTTAGTAAAAAGGTATTTCCGAAGCTGTGGAAGCACTTTTTACTAGGATTTTCTTAGTAAAGAGCCATTCCTGAAGCTTTGAAGATGGCTTTACTATTGATTCAAATCAAATAAATATTTGAATACTTGATTTGAATTTGATCGAATCGAATCAAACATTAATTTGAATTTGATCAAATAAATCATTTTTTTGATTTGAATTTAATCGAATCAAATCAAATATTCAAATATCAAATCGAATTGCAGAACCTAGGGATCACTGTTATATTATAGGTAAATTCTGAGATGAATCTCATAATAATTGTAATCTCAAACTTCAGATTGAGCCATGGAAGATACCAATCCCAATTTCTTTTATAATTTCTGAGGATATGACTCTTACTTAATTTGTAAATCTGTTGAATGCTCAGGTAATTCTCTTTAAATTACTGTTATTGCTAAAACATTTGAGCGATACAAATCTATGAAGGTAGGTCAACTTAAGTATATTAATAGTATGCAATTTACGAATTTTATCTTACAAAGAATTTGGGTGATGATTACCCAATTACAACTAAGTATTTCAAGAAACAAGACTATTCTTCTGAACAGATTTCCTTAGCATATCGTAAAGGAATTTTTCCTTATGAATACATAGACTCTCATGACTGATTTAAGGAAACAAATTTACCCCTGATTCATAAGCTTTTTTTTTCTTTACGTTTTATAGGAATACATTAAGATAAACCTTTTAGAGGTGATATTTTAGTAGGTTTTCTAACTGTTTTCTTTATTTTTTCTTTACTTTAAAAAATCAAATGTATCTTTTTTGAATAAAATATAATATAATACATATTCTTTTTGAGTAATTTATTATGTAATAATAAAATAAAATTATAAATCATAAATAAACAAAAATTAGTTTTATTATTTTTGATTTTTTAATTAATTTTTGCTGATTGTTGATCAATTTTAAGCTATTTATGCTGAATTTTGACCAATTTTTAATATAAATGCTGATTGATAGCTGATTTTCTATTTACTCAAAGTGCTGATTTTTTGGTAATGATCAGCAGAATTAGACCTTATTTTGGCCAACTTTTGGCACTTTAAATGTGACAAATTGTATTATTTTGCCTAGTGATATATCAAATAACTACCAATTGTTAATGTTGAATGTTTTTTTGTATGGTATGAAAATGTGCAACTTTAGCTATAACTAAAAATGCTGATTGTTTTAGCAATGATCAGCAGAAATTAGATTATATTTCAGCCAACATTCAGCACTTTAAAAAAGTGATGAAATGGATTATTTCAACTAGTGTAAAAAAACTCTTTCTCCTTGTTGGATTTTTTCCAAGAATTTTACTTTAAAAAAGTGCCCGTTTAACGGCAGCCGCAACTTAGCCTACGAACAAAACAAAAAACCCTACCTTTTAAAAATATTCCTCTCTTTGTTCCCCACATAAAAATTTTCAAAATAGTCTAAACCGTGTTGTTTTTTATTATAATATTTTTTCTTCACCTCTTTTCAAAAAATTTTTTCCGTTTTTTTCTCTTTTTCTTTTTTGTCTACAAAAAGTAGGCATCAAGAGGTATTCGAACTGATGATTATGATCGATATACTTTGGATAAACAAATCTCACGTGATGATCCCCTTTCCCTTTCTAAATAATACACTCTCTTTTGATTGACCTTTGCCTTTTTGCAGATCCTCTGTTGTCAAAGATCACGTGTAAATTCAGCGTTATATCTACTTTAGTATCTATAGACGTCGCCTATTTGGAGTGATAGTAGCTACCACTTGGTCTGGTATTTTTGTTGACTCAAATAGGTTTGAAATAAAGCAATAGGAAACCTTTGTTGTCAAGATCCTTACTCAGTATAAGTTCGCTTTATCTAGATCCATGCCTTCCTGGCCAACCAGGTAAAGAGTATAGGTTCTGCCCTGCTGATTTCTTGTAGATTTTCATAGTGAATTCCATGTGATATTTTTTCTGTACTTATGAATCTATAAGTATGAAGGGCCTCTATTTGGACTTTTCTTTGGACGCATCCTCTTTGGTCGGGTGGTCATTATATCCAGAATTAACTGGACATTTAGGTTTTTATAGAGTCATATTTAGTTGTTTATAAATTTCTATTTGTGACAATTCCTTACTTCAGATGTTATTTTTAGTGTTAGAATTTTCTTTAAAGGGAAGTTAGGGTTCAACAGACATTTAGAAATTAGATGATTTCTGACACTTTATTTCCACCCTCTTCAGGGGGTGGCAGTGATCAGTCGACTCAAATGAGTTTGAAATAGAACCATAGGTGGTAAGTTACGTATTTTAGTATTTTTTTAGGTTTTGCCTTCAAATTTTCAATACAAAATAAAGTACTATAGCTAGACTGCATCGTTAATAATTAAAAAAAATTATTTTGACTAGTGTGGAAGTGTTGGTAAAACTCTTTCTCTCTTCGCTCCAAACCAAAAATTTATAAAAAACAAAAACTTTAAATATTTCACTTTTTATTATTTTTTCTTTATTAAATATATACATATAAACTTTTAGTTACTTAATTTTATTCCCTATAAACAAAAATAAATACAAATACTTTAGAAAACTTTTGTGAAATATTTTTCTAAGACACCCAAAAATTCTTAAAAACTTTATCTTTTGTTACTTCTCATCTTGCCGAAAGAGATATAGAGATTGCTAAATATCTTAGCTTTCAAACACCTGAAATTTTTTGGCTTGTTAGAAAATTAAATTTTGAATATGACAAACTTTTTCCTGACAAAATAAAACTTTCACAAAACTTCATAGAACAATTAACGCGTTCTAGTGCTTTTACTATACATGAAACTAGAACAGAGGATTTTGCTATAAACAACACCAAAGATCTTATCAACAATACTATTAATAACATTGTCAACAATGATGATATTATTTCTATTGCTGATTCTGTCTCACCTGATATGGATACTTTGGATGAAGATGATATGGATTCATCTGTTGATCAATTTCATAATAAACTTTCTTCATCAGAAATTTCATCTCTTGCTAATTCTTCACCAAAGACTTCAATTGCTGTGAAAATAAACGCGTCTCATAAACAACAAACATATAAACAGCAAATTATACATAAAAGTGACGTGTCTGTTATTAATAACAATCTTAACATGTATCCACTTAATAACAATAATAATACGTCACACAATGTAAATAATAATAACATATCTTTTACATCAGCTGTTACACATAATACACGTGATTCTTCACTTGCTAATGAAAATCACATGACTTTAATCACCAAAGAAACTGCTGTAAACTCTCAACACAATTACCATAAAAATGGTTTGAATACTATTAAACCTCAATTACATTCTCAAGATCTTCGTCACTATATCAACAAACCTAAAATCTCCTGTACTTCTCCTACGAAATTTATCAAAGCATTCGTAATAGTTATGCTTGTATCAGGAGAAACTAGATACAAGAAATTAGAACTGATAAATTCGTTATTAGCTCCTCTTCCAGGATTTGTTGACTTAGATTAGAAATTTCTTAATGGTAATGCACATATAGTATTTCGTTTCAACAATAGAAAACTTTTATTAGAAGCCATAGATAAAGCTTTAGAACAGTACCCACACTCTCACTTCAATATAATTGATGATCATCCAGTTAAAAAGTTTGAATCTTCAACCCCAATTTACAAACTTAAAAAAGTTTCATATTTGATTAATCTCGATGATATCAAATGTGCTATTACATACTATGGAAATGTTATATCTTTTGAAGAAAACATAATTATAAAAATCCTTCTAATAGAGATGTCATTATTAATTTTTCCAAAATTCGTAAATCTCAACAATTAAAGAAGCTTAGACAATCAATATCTCTAAATATTGTATTAGATATGCTCATATTGATACACCTGTTGACGAACTTAAACTTTGAAACTGATTTGTGATTGGTTTTAAGGGATTTAAAGAATACACTACAGCATCTGAAACTATAAGAACAATGCGATCTTATAATGGAAGAACTTGCTACTTTCATGGTCGTATTGCTTATTTTGCCTTTACTACTGAAGAAGATATGCTTAACGCATGTAAAATTAGAATATCACATAATGAATACCTTTTAGATGGTAGATCTTGTAGGCTTAATAAATCAATAAATCACAACATACTTCCTCATCAATCATCCCACAACCTAAAACTTTCTCTTATAACAATTCATATACTTCAAGTTCACAACAGTTTGCAGCTCATAGATATGTAGATAATAACTTTGCTAACTCATCACCTTCTAGTATTTCACAAAAAGAAAAAGATTGTGTTTTACCTTCAACTGATCTCAAGGATAATACCAATCTATTAACTTTGATCCTTAGCAAATTACAAGAACTGGATTCCATTAAAGAACATTTAGCAAAACTAGATTCTCAAATGCTTTCTTTTGCTAATCTGAATGGGCCACTGGCTCAACGATTATAATACCTTTACACTAGGCAAATCACAGATTAATGTCAATTCTACTAATAACTGAATTGACTCTCATGATCAAATAGACGTAAATAAATTTCTCAACACACAATTAAATAGCTATTGACAATAATATTGAATATTTACCCAATGCAAACATTCTTGATATTATATCATGAGACGTCTTTAGTTTTACCACTCATAATATGCGTGAATTAAATGAAAATATCAAATGCAATCAAATCATTGATACATTCAGAATAAAGAAAACTGATTTTGTAAGCCTTACTGAAACACACCATAAATCATCAATGTTCTTTAAATATAAAAATGATTCTGATTTTGTCTCCTTTTGGAGTAGACCAGATCCTAATGATTCTTCTGCTACTAGGGTGGGACTCCTTATCAGCAAAAAATGAAGTCGTTTTATTACAAAATCTTTATTGGACAATAATAGATTCATTTATATTGACCTATTTCTAAATGGACATGCTAAGCTTAGAGTTTTCAGCTTTTATATTCATGTATCTCCTAGTAATCCTCAAGATAAACATAATAGATGAGTATTACAAAAATAACTTCTACATATTATTGATGACTCTATCAGAGAACATTATCATGTGATCTTCATGTGAGACTTTAACGCTGATATCGATGATTTTAACAAACTATTGTACTCTAAAAAATCTCCCAGCTAGAAATTTGATCTCATTAAAGGCCTTTTTCATAGAAATTTTTAGATCTATATGATATTAGCAATGACAGACCAAAATCAACCTTTATTCCTTCCTATAGTGATAAACATAAAACTACACCCAAATGATTAGATGGAATCTTTGCCTCCTTAGAGTTTATTTCTGATTTTATCTATTGTGGAATTGCAAAGTCTTTGCTTTACAGATCTGACCATAAAATGCTGATTGCTTATTTTATTGATGTTAAAATTGAAAAAAATGCTAAAGCTAGAAGGAACAACATCAAGAGAAAAGTTTTGACTTTTTTTTTTATGAATCATGAGAAATGGATTAAATTTTCAGAGCAAACTGATCTTTATTTCTAAGACAATTCTTTGAATTTGCTTATTGATCTACCTCTGAATAGAGCAAATATGAATAAATTATGGGAAGCTATTCGTAATGATATCACCCACATTGCCTCTTATACCATTCTGTATAAATGGGTAACCTCCTAT